CTCTAGCTCTCTCTCTCTCTCTCTCGCTCGCTCCCGCTCTCTATCTCTCTATCTCTCTCTCTCTCTCTCTCTCTCTCTCTCTCTCCCTCGTGTAGTAGTAAGATGCTTCAGTTCGCTCAGAATTCAAGAAAGCACGGACACAAGCATGCATGCATGCATGCATGCATGCACATTCAAGGGGTTGCGAAATGATTCCAATGCATGTGCAATACACTGCAGTGCATACATGAAATGCAGAATGTGCATCCGCACACAAACTCAGTAGACAGGTATAGGTGTACCTGTACATGTGGTGGCTTCGGTAGGACCATTGTGCAAAGTAGCAGAACAGAAAGCTGAGTTACATGCAAGATAGCTGCACTAAGTGAGTGTACGACATTGCAAGAGCTTGATAAACCATCCACCAGTCCCTTAATTCAAGTCAATACCCATGGATATCACGAGTGTGTTCGCACGACGAGATTCTTTTGTAAGTGTATATGGATGAAACCAAGCATTCATGTATGCATGCATGGTGCCGTGTACACACCTTGACCACGTGGATGCAGTGTGTCTTCCACCTTCCGTCAGACTTGCCGGGTGCACCCCGCTGAATTGGAAGCCTATGGATGCTTCGGCCATGCCCTCAGTGCTGGTTTCAAGCACCGTTCGTGTGGCCGCTAGCTTGAACAAGATGTTGACTGCTAAGCTCCTACCCAGCTGAGCATGTCAGAGGTCACTGATCATCACTCGTGGTGCTTTTCTGGATTCCAGAATGTTTCCCTATCCCAGATCGGGGACAGCAGACTTGGCTTCGGTCGCAAGAGGAAGTGAAGAGCCTTTCAGCGATGGAGGTTTGACCTGTCAAAAGCTTTCAGAGGACAGACCTCTCGCTGGTTCTCCTTATCACCGGAACCACACCCTCTCATAGCTAAGGTTTAAGAAGCCTGAAACAGTCCCTGCACTGCCTATTACCCTGCGCCCCGTTCGTCCGAGGATGGAGCGTCGGAAGCTGCGAAGCGAAAGCGCCTGCAAGCATCGTGGCTGCAGACTGTCATGATTGAAGCGGATTGCAATCATGGTGTTGGAAAAGAATGGCAATAGCTGTAGTCTGTCGTAGTAGCTATGCCCACTTGATTCCTACCAGTAGTAAATCTATGGAGACAGACAGCACAACACGGGTGGTAGCCATCGCTGCAGTCATGGTAAGCGGTAGTCGTGCCTGTACACGGAGAGGACGATCGGGATGGTCGCGGGTTCAATGGGTCCTTGGTCATGGCAGTTTCAAGGCTTCGCAGTTCTGCAGTAGTGGCCGTGGCGTCGTGGAAGAGTAGGTACAAGCAGCAGAATCAGAGACTGCACAGCTTCTTTCGGGGCGGTCTCTTAAGCAAATGATTAACTTCGCAACTAATTAGGACAAGCAAAGCCAGAGGCCCAACAGGGTTGTTGGCCGATTTATAGCACTGCTCTCAAATCTGGGCATCTTTGTTCTTGGACCATACGACTTCCTTGCCTTCAGGAGATGGCTCGGCGCAGGATGGAGCGAAGAAGGCAGTCTGCGACGGGAGAAAAAACGTCACTAAGATGTTTCCAGGTAGCTGAGGGACTTGACGTGCGTCAGCTTCGTGAAGAGCTGCAGAAGGTCATGCCGTTTGGACATGCCTGGCAACCGACGAGCAACACCACATCTGGTGCGCTGGCTCAATCGACAGCTCCTTGCATAAGGCATGCGAACATGACTCCCCACACTCACAACACCCATGTCTGGCTGCGAATAAACCCAAGAGCTTGAACCCCTTGAGCTATCCCGAGCTACCTTTTCAGTTACCAGTTTACCAATCCGACTCGAAAATGCCATGGGGGAGAAATCCAAGCGCCGGGCTGCGCGGCAGGCTGGTGCCTGCGACACTTCATGAACCTGCAGGGCTCAACTGACTATACTGTAACAGAATGCGACCGAATATGATGAAATACAACATAGTAAAATGTAACATGTTAGAAGCTAATTAGAACAGAACAACACAATAGAACATAATAGAACATACATAGCATGACATCATAACTCGACAATACTTGCATGTAGCAGAAATCGAATAGAAATTCACGGGAAGGAGGCGATCAAGCCTGCGTGGGCTTTCTTCCTGGGGCTCGGAGCCTCGGCTGAAAGCGACAGTGTTCGTCTTGAAGCAGAGTTTTTAGGGTTTAGGGTTTAGGGTTTAAGGCGTCTCGCCGCGCAGCGGCAGTAAGT